ATTATGGGTGAAAAGGACACGGACAACACGCAAAACGTTCTTCTGGCAAAGATGGCATTCTGATGCAGAATCTACGAAATCACTTTCTATTTTAGCGTTGATAGCTTGTTCTTTATATAACCTTTAGAAAGTGTATTTGCCTACTTACTAGTTGGAAGCCATGGGTCGCACCTTTAACTAAAATAATTGTCAAAAGTCAAATTAGAGCATTCTTTGCTCAATTTTGGTCCTTTTAAATACGTTTTTAGCAATTAGTGTTCGACTAGAAAAAAATGCATCTGCATACTGGGATTTCATTATTACTAATTTTTTTTCGACTAGGCTTCGTTCTGGTGGAAGGAAGGTCTTCCTGCTCACAAATAGTGATTTTCGATATACTCAAGTGCGTATTACTCCTACTTCGTTGTATTGGTTCCTTTTTTTTCAAATAGGAAAAAAACGGATTCAATGTGGTTTTTCCACTGAAATTTTGTTGTTCACTGCAGCATGCAAATGATTTTTCCCGATTTTTGTTCTAAAAATAGTAAAGTTACTTTGGTTTTTGTTTGAAAAGTATTTGCTTAATAATGCCACTGTGCTTTGTTTAGGAAAATTTGTAAATTAAAAATATTTTACTAATAAGCTCTAATCATAATTTTAGAAAAACTATTTTGCCATATGCCTGTGCTATGTCTGCTCAGAGTTAGGTTTTGTATATAACAAAGTGCGTTTCTTTTCTCTATCATGCAAGGGAGAAGACTTGAAATGAAAATTCTGTTAATTCATCCAAAGCGGCATATTTTCACTGCGAAATGTAAAACTTTTCATGGTGTTTTATATTGCTTGTGGTATTTAATAATTTATTCAGAAGATCAGCTGACGAGCAAGCGTGAGCCAGGTATCCTTCATTCTCTTACGCGGGTTACTTTTTAACAAAACGTATTTTAATCCTCCGAACCCTCATAGTATATGAATCGCCAATCTTGCTGCTGGTGGATCTTTTTAAAACTTTCTCTTAGTATCCACCATTAAGAATTACCTTTATTTATACAATTCTAGGTAATCATGACCTACGTGTTGGAAATTCCAAATCATGACGTAAGTCGTAAGCTAAATGCTTATAAAGATGACATGTTTTTTTAAGCGTCACCGACTCGGAGTGACCTGGCTTAGATCTTAGCTAACTCTTTAGGAGGAGGACGTTTTTTTATAAACCATTAGATTTTTCTATTGATACGTTCACATTTGACTTTCAAGGAACTGAGGTGACCTTGTACTAGTTTGTTTTCTAATCGAAAATTG